TGTGTGTGTGTGTGTGTGTGTGTGTGTGAGGCAACCTATATATAAAATCCTACTCTCATGCATGCCTTAGATAAGGTTCTTTAATTTCCATTGATGGCAAAGCACGAAGCCTACCAAACAAGCCATGGGGCTTTGATCACTTTTTCTGCGTACTTCCACTTCTAATGCTCTTCCTTAGAGTTTGGTGATGTTTGTCTAGTTAGGTTTAGGTCTTTCTTTTTGATATTAACTATGTAACTATGGTTGTTTCTTTCACTTGTCATAAAAAGAATTCATTAATAATATGGAGATATCTTTGTTCTATTTTTATAAATATATATGAGGTTAAAAATTAATAATAAAAATATAGATGTACGTACTATGTTTAACAGAAGTTATACTATTCTTATTCTATATATAAATTGTAGATCTATATATTTTATTCTCAGTATTTTAGTATTGATATATTCTTAATCCATATTTTTATTGTCACTTTTGATATTGATGATCTATATATTAATTCAAAGTATAAACATATTATCAATAAGCTTACGTACTTGAGGTTGAAACACAAGTGAGAACGCTTATATAATACTCCCTCCGTTTCTTATTATAGGAGACATTTGATGTTTATGGCATGTTCTTATATATAAGAGACCTAAAAGTTGTCTTACTTTTTTGTGTTGATTTCCTATTTTACCCATATTTATTGTCTCCAACTCACACTCTCTCTCCCTCCCACTTCTCTTTCTTTCAATAATTTAATTGTTCTCTCTCATGCTCTCTCTCCTTATTAATGAGGGCATTTTTGGAAAAAATTATATTTTTCACACATTGATTGTTCTTAACTAATTTTAACTGCTTTTTTGATCAACGTAATTCGGTTATTCGTCTCTTATAATAAGGAACGGAGGGAGTACTACCTTCAGTCATTATATAAAATTAATATAAAATTAGTTGACTGATTTGAACAGATTAAGAAAATTAGTTAAGTTAGTTATTTGTAATAAATAGGCGTTGTCTTTTTTAAAATTCCTTGCTAATCATGTGTATTAGCTACAATTATCATTTGATGAAATCTTTAACATGTGCAACTACTATAAAGACTATCTTAAGAATAAATAAATATAAAAGATAAAGTAGATCAAAGTTTTATCTTTAAAACCAAATTGAATATAAAACTAACTTTATGTTAAAATAGGAGGCAGCGTATAGCATATAGTTTCAATTAATGTTCTATTATTTTTTTCCCACTCTGACTTTGGGGTTATTTAGATATGAACGCAAGTCCCACGTTGAATTTGAAAAGAAGAAAACGAATTAAGTGAGGTCATGCAATTGTGAGGTACTACTACCAGTCTATGGATTAATAATTTTTTAATGACAATAATTAAAGATATTAAAAAAGTGTATTTAAATATTCATTTTATTTATATAAAAATAGTAGATTAAGTAAAGATAATTTTAAAAAAAAGGGTAATGAAAAGCAAGTTGACCCTTCCAAAATGGGCCGTGTACGCAAAAAGCCAGTGGGGTCTGAGTGCCAATAGGTGTGGCGGATGTGGTAATGACTTGTTATTTTTCACAATAAAATTATCATTTAGGTGCGTCCTTTTTCTTTTTTCACTATTCAAAAACGGAAGGATTAATACTAATAGTCCACGTGTCATTGTTAATTAAGGTCAATGACTTTGAGCTTAATTATTTAATTGCCTAGTTGTCCATCAATAATTGCTGCATTGAAACTTTAGGAAAAATACACACACACGCAGATGTAAGTCTAAAACAAAAATGATATTTCTTTAATTTTATATATAAGTTTTTCAACATGTTTCAACACAACTTAAAAAAAACTTTTAAACCTCGTTAACTTTATCTTAAAATTTAAAAATTTTTTAATTTTACTTTTATTTCAGATATATACTTTCTAATAATCTAATAATTTAGACGATAATAAATGAAAGATAAAGTAGTACATTTATATTAAAAATTTGATAATATAATTTATAAATAGGATAAAAAAATTTCTCTCTCTTCCCTATAAATATGACTAAGAGAGTAATTGAGTGTAGTGGGAAGACTTTGATACTTAGTATAAAAGTTATTTATTTGAGTACATTAAAAAAGCTACATAAATTAGGATAATTATTTATATTTAAAACATATCCTATTACCTCCAATCCTTTGATCCTAAATATAATATCTCAATCCACTTTATCTATCATATCTATTTATTTTTTTCTAAGATAGTTTTTATAGTAATTATATATGTTAAATGTTCTATCAAATGATAATTCTAGCTAATGTACATGATTAACAGTGGTATTTTAGAAAAGACAATACTTATTTATTACGAATAACTAATTTAACTAATTTTATTAATATACCCAAATTAATCTACTAGCTTTTATACCATCTCTGGTCCTTAACATAATACTTTTCCGATTCTAAATATAAGACCCATTTTGTAGTGTAATTTATGATCGGAGTAGTAGCTCATTTGACTTTTGTTTTGATTCTAAATATAAAACTCTGATCCACTTTGTCTATCATATTTATTTATTTTTTTTCTAAGGCAAACTTTGTAATAATAATAGTTCTAGTCAAGACAGTTGATTAATAAGGATATTTTAGAAAGAAAAAAAAAGCACATATTCAATACAAATAACTAATTTAATTAATTTTTTTAATCTATTTAAATTAATCAACTAATTTTTATATCAAGGATTAGAAGTTGTATTGAGAATATGAGGTAGTAATATCAAATTACATAATTGTCGCAATATATAAGTAGAGAAGTGACTTTAGGGTATATTTGAGAGTTTATAATGGAATGGAACGAGATGGAAATTCGAGCAGACCAATCCATTGTTTGAGAATTTTAGTGGAAGAAGGAACCTTTTCACGTGACCGCTTATTTGATAATTATTATGATAAAATTAACAATGAAATTAATTATAATAAACTCCAAAGTCACACCTTATTAAAGTTCAAAAGCCAAAATGATGACTTCAACCGAAGACTTATGAATCAGCACGTTTCAAAGTACGAATCACAACAAGCGTTGGAATTGTTCACAAGATTAGACTGGACTGGATGGATATCCTTGGTTTTACCATAAAGCTAGTTTATTGCTAATAAATTGATTGAATGAAGAAAATTTAGATTATTTTTTTGGTCAAGAAAATAGATTTAAGAGTTCAATATAATTTTGTTTTATTTTTAATCATTTTCTTATATATCATTTAGATGTGTTTGGTACGAGGGATTTGGAGGGGAGGAGAGAGGGGGAAGGATTTTAATCATTTCTCCTTGTTTGGCAAAACACAAATTTTAAGAGAGGAGAAAAAATTTTAAAAAATTTTCCCTTCCTTTCCCTCCCCAACCTCTCCTCCAAAATTGGGAGGATTTGGAGGGAAAAGGCAACATTTTGCCATGTTGTGACTATTATACCCATATTTTGTCATGTGATGACCATTATGCCCATATATTAAATAAAAAAAAAGGCAAAATTGTCCATATTGAAATATTTTTCCCTCCCCTCCTCTCATGAACCAAACAAGATAATATTAAAACTCCTCCCCTTCCCTCCCTTTTAATGCATCCAAACAAGATAATATTAAAATCTTTCCACTCTCCTCTCCTCCACTTCCTTCCATTAAAATCCTTCCCATCTCCTTCCTCTCATTGAGCCAAATAGACCCTTAAGTTCACCTAGGTAAATTACAAAAAGCTACTTAAACCTAACTCTGATTGTAAATGTATAAGTTCATGGAGGGATTTATTTTAATTATAAATTTAATTAAATTTTATGTTTCTTAAATTTATAATTTTTTTGAACTATTCTTAATTTCTTATTAAGCACGTGGTAAAGCATTTGACTAGAACCATTTATTTATTTTTAATCTTTTAACTATTTTTTATATTTAAGATCGAATAAATTATTTATAAATATAATTTTTTGGGTAATATTTATAAAGATAAGTTGAGTCAAATAAAAGTTTTAAAAAGATATGCAAGTGAAAGAAATGACGTGTATAATTAGTCAGTTTTAGTATTTATTCCTGATCGTACTTTCATCTCTTAATTAAATGTGAAATTTGGTGAACTTGAAAACCAAGTCGCACCATTCGTATATATAAATACATATCGGAATATTTGAATATATGACTTACTATAAATGCGTTTGGTCAGAATCATTCATTTTTTTAGTGCCTAGTTCTAAATATATATATTTTTAATTCCCACTAATAAATATTCTCGAATTCTTGTCATGGATAACTTTCTTTGTATTTTTTTTTCAATTTACAAATAATTACTAAACATATTTAAAAACATGAAAATAATAAATCAGCATTTAAAATTTGTTGCCAACTATTCGTTATGTGAAATTCCAAAAGATGGATCCAATTGTCATTAGTTCAATAGAGTTTTTTTTTTTTTTTGTTATACATAAATTTTAGGCAGGGTCCCAGCTTAACCCAGGTCAAAAGTAGGGCGTTTGAATAGCTCCTCTTAAAGGATACTAATGTTAGGTTGAGTGAACCTACAATATATTCCCATCTCTTTTGAGAAAGAAGGTGCGGTTCTTATTACCGAACCTACGGATGATGGGTAGTTTGACAGTTTTTTTTTGTTGTTTGTTAAGAAGTTTGACAGAGTTGAAATATCACCAAACATTCTAAGTGTTTCGGTCAATCAGACTGCATTGATGGCCTTGGTGGACTCCGAGCTATATGGGCCGAGGCCCATTTATCAGGCGAGATTAGGCCCATAACTGAACCTCTTGGACATGGCCCAAAAAACCTCTCCGATGGGGATAAAATCAATCAATATCTTTATAGGCAGCATTGATAAATTATGAACAATGCAACCCATTACCCATCTATATATCCAAACCCCAAAAGAATCCAGTACCTCGTCTGATATTTAAATATATGAAATTTTGAATCTACCTCGGAAAGATAAGATTCTCCTATGAAATTTACACCGGCATTAAACTTTCCAAACTGGGGAGCCACTTGGGAAATATAAACCTATGACAACTTCATATTATTATCTATTAGGTTACACTGGTAGCCTGTTCTTTTGTTTGATGGCACTCCTGTACAGAATCATAGAAAGCCTTCACAAGTAGATACCGGGAAAAGCTCAATTGCAGTTATAGGCATTAGGCTTTAAAGAACATAAATGACAAATGAAAAACTAGATTTACATCTTCCGAGGCCTTATACACCCATACAAACATCATCTAGGGAATAGAATAGGCTTGAGCAAGCAAGGCATGCAATGCAATTCTGCTGCCTCTTCCTGTAAAAAACATAGAATTTCCATGAGCTGCTGGTGGGCTAGAGCTCATATATATGGACAGAGATCATAAGCTAGATGTTAAAAAAGTTCCTTCTCCGACGCCGAGATTGTAATTGACCTGCTAAGGCTCTTCTGTTTGGTCGAGCGATTGGTTCGCCACGCCCTGGAAATTCCCACCTGACTATGTCACCATCCCAGGAGGAACTGATCAACATTGGGTACACAGGGTGCCAACTACAATCTCTCACAGGTCCTTCGTGATGGTCAAGTTTTGCAACTTGAGCTCCGCTCACCTACAAAGAAACATCCCAGTTACAATCAAGCCACTTGTACCAGGTAATTTATAGGCAGATACACATATGCTAAGATTCTGACGCACTGTCATTTCAAAAACAGAACATGGATTTGTCTGAAATGGTTATCAGACATGACATAATACTATATTTATACATAAACAGACATAATTTGGCATGTCACCTTGCATATTTTTAATTTATGCTTGAACATGCATATTTTTCCTCTGTCACTATACTACGTTCATAGTGAACCATCTTTATATCAAATGTCCATGCTTTCTTAGTGGACAATGTAACTGTAGCCTCCCTAATTGGCAATTTGCCACTGGTATAGCTATTAATCCCCAGTGAAGTTGAATTTTGTCATTGAATAATATATTATTAACTCCCAGACAGGTCACCTATACATTTAAACATGACAGCATTTTTCCTCAATTAATATAATGCATCAGATTAATTTGGTTGTTTCATCCAGTGGTCAGTCACCACCAATCAGAGAGGATTAGTACATTTAGGGACATGGAATTTTCCTAGACCTGAACACAAATAATAAAGCCATCTTGTAAGAGAAGTTCTGCTCTCACCAGGTCATAGATATAAACAGAGCCATCGCTGGACCCAGTGTAAATGTATTTTTGTCCAGTGCTGCAAAAAGAATTATTGATTCATATGATTCGCATTATCACATAAAAGAGAAGATGCAATCTCACGACAAAGAAACCAAATAGTCTAAATTTCATAAGAAGGCAGAGCTCAAATGCAAATTGATATATGTCAATCCGTTGATAACCAGAACAAAAAAGAATAAAACGGCAAATCTAAAACATCATATTGAAAGTTAAAAAGGATAAGTAAATTTCATCAAAAGTCAGGAACTTAGAATAATTTCATTCAGATTTTTAGCAGCGTCCAGGGCTTTCGACCAAACTTCTGGAAAACTACCAGCCGGATTATTTTTTTTAATCCAAACACAAGAGAATTCTTTGGCAGTCATCTAAATCTAAACTTCAGAGATAACATTTCAACATACCCCCACATCCTAGCAACCACCGAAATATAATGATATCAGGCCAAACCATAGTTTGAGGAAAAAGTCATCCAAATAGGTACAAATTATCCGAAACCATGGTTTTGGATGAAGCATCCCCCCCTTTTTTGGCTGAAATTTGACTCTGCAGCCCAAAACCATGGTTTCGGATGAAGCTTTTTTCCCCCCCCCCCCCCCCCCCGGCTTTTTGGCTGCAATTTGACTCTGCAGAGAAGGGCCAGCGGTACATGACAAAGAGCCCTCAATTATTTCATTCCCTTTTCTCACTCATCATTCGGCCTTCCGTCCTTCGTCCTCCTTTTACTGTAGATCTAAAGTAAAACTACTTTTACTGTTTTCCAAAATCATATTTTAAAAAATAATCATTTTTCTATAAACATATTTAATCTTATAATTTATAAATATATATACACATTAATTATTTATTAATTACATTATCTTATATATTATTAATTATGTTAGTAAAAATTATTTTATTAACAATTTTATTTCTTTAAATTAAAATATATTATAAAATCTATCCTTTATATAATTATCATATTAACTTAACTTATGCCCTTTTTAGTAATTTGCACATGTAAAAAGTGCTTCTGATAACAACTATCCAAATACTCTCACATTATCAGAATCATCTTTTCACAAAATCTATTTTCCAGAAGCTATTCTCCAAACCATGGTTTGGTTTCATCCAAACACCCCCCAAGTCAAGGAATTAACAGCTATGGAATTGGTTCCCTCTGTTTTCACAAAAAATAAAAAGTGTACCATTTTATGAAAAGTCATACACAATTTAAGAACCTAAATAATTTGTATAATGAAGAAACCCTAAATTACCTGTACGATGGTGAAAAGTAGCAGCGGATTAAGGTACGCAACACTGAGTGGCCTCTATATGTTGCCAATGACTGGTCATGGGGATGTTTTATATTTCTTGCCTGTTGGGGGTAATCCATCCACCTATAATCCCAATCGTCATCTAGAAGCCCGGGACTGTGTTGCATAAGTAACCAGCATCAGCATGAAAAATATATATATATATATATATATATATATATAAAACAGGTTAGGAAAAATTAATGAGACATTACTATCCCAGTGTTATTTTTTTAAACATAAGTGATGCTCCACTTGGTTTCACTGATAATTTCGACATCCAGGCCCATTGAAAAATCAGAACTCAGGGGATGACACAAACTTGTTTCATTCTTATAAAGAAGATCTCAATTTTCTTAAAAAAGATCCATCTCAAATATTTAAAAGTTCCACAAAAATTATTAAGAGGAAAGATATACAATAATCTTAAACATGAAATTTACCAACTCTATAAGACCTTCATGATAACAAAAATTAAAATATTTGGCATCCTTTTTTTCAAATGGCCAGCAACGCTGCTTTGAGATTGCCTACAGAAAGAGCCTTATGGTAGTCAGGATATCAATTTAAGATCATATTAATTTATACGCGAGCAGGTTTGTTTCTCATTTCTCATGTCTTCCAAGAATAGCATTTCACATAGGATATCGAATAGGAAATCCAATTTTATTAGTACAACTCCTAAATCTTAACTAGAGAAAACACCAAAAAGTTAGATGCGAAACATTTGGAGGGTTAAAAAAGAGATTAAAGGATAATTAGACTTACTTTATAACATTAGAAGACATCTTCCTTATGTCCCATAATTTTGTAGTCTGATCTTTTCCATTAGAAATTAAATAACGACCATCTCCACGGCTATCAATGAATGTAATGCCTTGTAAATGGCCCACTAATGTTCCAGCCGGTTGCCCTTTTGAGACAAAGCAACGCCTATCCCACACCTATGCGAAAGCCAATAGTTTTTCAAGCGGAAAATAGCAAGTAGGAGGCCCAATGCAATATATTGGCAATGCAAGGTTTGGAAATTTGCCCGGTTTCGTTTAACTATATTTATAAACAAATATGTTTCCTATGCAATCAAATATGTCATCTATTATAACATAATGAATATTCATCAAAAGCATGTATTAAGCCATGTAAGACATAAAGGAATATAATCAAATCAAAGAAATTTTCAACAAACAAGACCTTGGGGTTAGGAAGGGAAGGGAAGGTTTGATTTAGATCTTCCCCTTGTTTAAATCTATAAATCAAAAACTTTCCTTCCCATTTCTTCTCCTCCATTCTCCTCAACCAAACAACAGTAAAAGAATATCAACATACTTCCCACAAAGATCTGATATTTCATCATGTATGCATTTGAAAGTAATAATGTAATGCGCTGCAATTAAATTATATTGCCCTCTCTCATAACAAGATGACCCTGAAAATAAGGGAGGAAGCAACACACTCCTAAAAATGAGGGGAAAAAAATGAAAAAGGAAATTGGGACTTCAGCTTTACAACGAGCTGCACCTGCCGCCCATCTAAGCATGCTAGAAACCATTACTGCCAACAGAGACAAATGTGGCTATCACCAAACCAAATTCCCATGACTAGAATAAAAGGTTTACCTTGCAGGAACCATCATCACTTCCAGAATATATAAGATGGCCAGATTCATCAGCGAAGCAGACAGTGTTAACATCAGACTGCAATGTAAAAAAGCATCTCATATGTAAGCAACGTGCTCTGATGGGAAGTAGAAAAATCTCAGCTGCTATGCGCCACAAGAATGCAATTAAAAAAATTGACCATTTACATTCGAATAATCTCTAAACCGGAAATAGTGATTGAGAAGATTTGTAAGCAGACTCAAAATTTGGTTGCATTCAAGTTCATATTTCCTCACAAGGCTCAACGTTATGATCAGACTCAGGTTTTAAAAAACATCAAGACAATGACAACATAATAGGTCAGAAAAGTATACGAGGGTTTAGGAGACTTTGATAGTCCAAATATCTACAATAACATTTGCCTCTTATGGCTAAAACTATTGCAAAGTAATTAATTGTACTTTGAGGAAAGAATACCATTTGATCATCATTACAATTTATTTACTTCATTTATTTATTTATTTCCTTCTCTAGGACTTCAGACATTTCAAAGACTTAACTGAAGAAAAAAATTTTATTTTGCTACGATGCAACAAATTAGTAAGCTTCAAGAATGAGTTTGTGTTATCTCAAAAAAAAAGAAAAAAAGAATGAGTTTGTGAAGCATGACAAATATCAGTTAACACCTTTCAAATTTTGAACAGGGTTATTGAATTATTCATTACTAGAAACTAATTATAGGATAGTTTATATAATACCACGTGGGCAGGAATTCTAAGGCTCAGCTTATCAGCTCGAAGATCATAAACACATATTGAGGAATCACTAGTAGCTGCAACAAGTTCTCGGCCATCCGTAGAAAACTTGACAGAGAAAATCCCAAATTCGTCATCATCTTCATCAGAAGATAAATCTAAACTATTATGAATTTCCTGCAACAAAACATGACCTTTTGAGTATAAAGCAGACAACAATTAAATGAAACTTTGGTGCTAAAGTTGACATAAATCTTATACATGCATTTTATTGTTGAAAATTGAACCCCCAAAAAAATGCATGTTTCTTCATTAGAAGAGGTATTGCTAAGCTGCTATAAACGAAAATATTAAAAATGCTCCCTACCTGTTTAGTTGGATAAACCTCAGTCAATGACCTATAGTGACAGAGCAAGAGCATGCCCAATCACTTGTAGCAAAGCATTTCAGATGGTGAACTGAACCGTTTCATTTATTTTCAAGTTTGAAGTGCTCAAAATGAGCGAGGAGTGAAAGATATCAATCTGCTTAGCTCACTTCTTGCATTAGTAGATTTTATTGACAAACTTCAGCACTTATAAATTCCAAGTACTATATAGAAAAAACACAACCGGGAACAAAATTGTGGAAGTGACATCTTCAAATGCCTCTAAATAGAAAACACTATCATTAAAAGTAGCAGTTCCTGGACATACCGTAACATTTGCTATTGATTGTCCGGTAGCAGACCCGACAACATTCACAATATGGACAACAGGAGACATACTAGCATAAACCTGCAACGATTACATTAGATTGAAGTTAACGCTAGCTGGTTGGGATAAAAAATAAGGATAAGCAGCTGAAACTTCTGTACAGCTAGACAACCAACTCAACATTGGTCGTCCATATCAGTAAGAGGGAATCGGCCATTCTAATAATGCACATAATCATAATATTTGACAATCAACTCAAACTTACAAGGTAGCATTGATCTGGTGAAAGAGATGTATCAGTAATCGTCCACCTCAGGTTTCTAGCAGAAATGTCCTTCACTACCTTCCAGTCCCTGTCAACATCATAGACCCTAATGTGGCTTCCCTGTTTGAGAAGAATGTATAAAAAGCCCAAAGTTAAATACAATTTTTTAGGTAAATTATTTCACTAATATGACCTCCGTTTCAATATAATAGTCTTTTAAGGTTATACATATGGATTAAAAATCTATTAAATATTCTAGATTATAGCAAAATGTATTGACATTTAACTAAAATACCCTAAAGAATAATTAGTGCTTCGTTGAAATTCTAAAGCAAGAATTATTTTGAGATAAAATCAAAATTCCTACGTGACAATAAAAGCATACATCTTCAATCTTACAAAATCATCATAAGATTCATAATGCATATATGTGAGTGTGTGTACAAAAACTAGTAACCACTACTCTAATAATGACAGTAAAAACCTGAGAGCCAGCAATAAATAGTGATCCTTCAGCAGAAAATTGTGAAACATAGGCACGGCTTTCCATCCGATCCACCAGCCAAGGACCATTAGTAGGCAAATAGCGGCTTAGAACATGACAACCATCTCTTGATGAGAATCTCCCAAGTCCAGAATAATTAGCTTCTCTGCCAGCTAACATTCGTACAGTTGATACTGGCAACCTCGTCCTACCAGGCTCAACACACCCAAAAAGTTTATGGGCGCTTGACCTAAGTTTAGTGAGTTGTGCAATTTCATGATCAAGATAAACCGTTCTTTCTCTAGCTGACCCACTAGCAGAAGATTCATTACTGACAGTACCATCATCACAAGTACCTATCTCTTTGCCGAACCTACTCATTGTTTAGTGTTTGCTCCTTTCTGTCTACAACCTGCAAACAGAATCATGTATTAGACCCTCGCAGCAGAATCAAAACATACGTAAACATGCAGAACCCACATATGTCGCTTAAAGGGGAAACCCAAGGTAATTAGATTACTTTGCCACTTTGAGTTGTATAAACCCCACACACACACACACACTAAAATTAAAATGCTAATTGAGAACCCCTTGTACACCATAAGAGAGAGTTAGCAGTATAGAGTATGATTCCCACAGTTGTCACCGACATTCATCTAACACAAGAATAACCTCATCTTGCTACGTATTCGAAATTCCATTTTGGATAACGCGAACAATTTGAGGACAACAAAAATGTAAATTGAACTTCACCCTTGGTCCCGTGCATGAGTCATCCAGCTCGAAAACTCAACTACCACACTGATCAGGCGAGATTTTGTAGATGAAGGGGGAAAAAAAAGAGTGAACCTAAACACAATTCTGGGCAGTTAAAGTGCATCATAAAGCCATCAAAAGATTGTGAACGTAGTGAAGCTCAAATCCTGATCACTCCAGCATATGGAACAGTTTCAGCACATACGTACAATATTTTCTAAACTGGACATGGAAAAATACCGACCGAGTATGAGAAAAGACTAAGGCTTACTTCTGATTCGAATCCGCAATCCTTGGAATTCCAAGCTCCAGCCACCATTCAGATATCCTAACTCCGTCTCCAGAATTACTCAGTTTCACGTTCTCAATTTTCAAAGCGCCTCTTATGTAGAATGAATAAAGGAACAGGCGAATCGTCAAAGTCTCTTCATTTCATCCTGTGATTTTTCTTCGCAAGGAAATTTAATAATTATAGGATTGGTTTTGTGAAAAACGAAAATGTATTTTTTTTTTATAACAGAATAAAAAAATAAAATAAAAAAACACCGACGAGGCTACCTCCACAATTTTAAGGCCACCATACGTCCGTACGTCATCGATGGTTTAAGGAAAACGTGGCACGCGCCAAGCGATGAGGATGTTGTGAACAACGAGCACAGCAAAATGAAGAGCTTCAGCACAGGGGAAAATAAAGGTAAAAAAAAAAACAAAGGTAAAAAAAAAAAACAAAGGGAAAAAATAAAGAAATGAATTATTAGTAAATTAGTTAAAAAAAATAAAATTAAATCCATCATGTCAAGCCAAATTTTTTCTTGGAAAAAAATATAACCACAAAAAATTCGAATATCTACAGGAATTTGTCATTACTTGTTATAGAAGTTTTGTTAATTACATTCATTTTTATCACATATTTATTACTTCTCTGGTCTTTAATATATGATCTAATTATTGAATTGATTTTAATTCTAAATATAAGACATATTTCTTAGATTTATCATTTTTTTTCTAAATTACTCCTATAGATACTCCTTCAATCATAATCAAGTAGAAAAGGGATGGAGGATATTAAGGAAGATGATTATGGTATTTTAAGAAAAACATGTTATATTTCTTATAATTAACTAACTTACCTAACTTTCTTAATTTAATCAAATCAGTTAAATAGATCTTATATTAAAGACCGGAAGAGTCCCAAATATGCTTCTTTTTATTTCATTTTAATTTTTTTATCCTTCTCACAATAAAAACAACTCATGTACCCATCACTCTCATGGAGGATCAAATGCAACCTCATCTTTAACTAAGATTTAGGGACATATGTAATGTTAGTTTTATTTTAATTGTTTTTACCTTGGAATTTTATTTTAATTTGAGTGCTCGTAATCGGCAGATTTTGACTTAATTTGAATTTGCTTTTCATAAAAGAATTTATTAAATCCATACCTATCTACAAACACATAAAATATCATAAAGTCGCATTTACAGATTATAAATTGTGCATTTTCTATTTACGATATGACCACATGCATTGCATAAATCTAATTAATTACTTTTGGCAAAAAAAAATCTAATTAATTTTTTTCATATAACTCAAAATATTTTCAAGCTATTTTGAGTTTGAGACTAATCTTGTTGGGAGCAATTTGATTAATTACTTTAACATCACAAAATTGATAACGTACAAGGCATTTTGAAAAAGATAAGGGTCATCATAAGATAGGCTTTATATGCAGTCATATCCTAATCCTCTTACGTTAATATCTTTTCCAAATCAAAATTCATCCCATTCCCTTGTTCGAATTTTGAGGGACCAATCAAACAAGCTAAATATACCATATTTAATGAGAGGGGGGAAAAAACAAAAAAATGGTAAATCATTTACTAAATATATAATCATATTTCCATGATAGAGGGGACAAAATCTACTGAATAGGTGCTGCAAAAGACAACTTAATGACAAATTCGTTTAGAGAGCTCAAGAAATAGGTATATTTTTTGAAAAATTTTAAAATACTAGCTAATAAAAAAATAAATAGAATTAAAATCTCTTGAAGGTAAGAATAATCTTATGAAGCAAGAAAGAATATATAAGGTTTTCGTACCTTACCCCAGTAATGCAAGACATCGGATCCTGATTATCTATTAGAATGTAACCACAAATGTTTTTTTTTTAATGATTTAATGTGTTTGCCTTTATGTTAGAAAGCAATAAAAAGTAACGAGCAGTTGGTTGAGGTAATAAACGGTTTCATTCTTGTAAGAAGAAGAACAGAAATTCGAATCTTTGGAAGCGTACTAGAGATGAAAATCTTTTATTCTTTAAACTTCGAAAGGAGAAACCCTTGATTAAATTTAAAAAAAAAAAAAGAAAGTAACAAAAACCATAGTTTTTAGTATGAATCCAAACACTTTTTTTTACCTTTATTTTTCTCTTATTTGGTTATCTTAGCCTCATTCTACGGGATTGTCTGTGTATTTGTCAACCTTATTAGCATAATACTCTTTTGATTCTATTTATAAAATAGATAGAAGATTTTTTTTTCCTTATTTATAAATCATATAATTAAATTTTGAACATAAATGTATTGTTTTACCTTTTATTTATTATTGAAGAAATTGTTATTTTTTTAGAAAGGGTCTATATTAAATGAGTTAAAGTTGGAAAAATTGTTGAATTTTAAGTCAGATTTATTAAGGTTTAAAGTGAAACATATTACAAATGACTTGTATATAAGATCATAAGAGTAATAAATACTATATAGATATATACAGACAGAGAGAGACATGCGCACTATGAGTTGCCCATGAAAAAAAGAATCTTAATAATAAACTAATATGATAAAATGAATACATTCAATTCAAGTAACTTGTCACTCATTATTACATCAATGAAATTCATCCACAACTCACATGTGCCCTGAAGGTAGCTGCATTTTATGATTTTCTGGGTTCCTAGCCTATATGAAGCTTTCCTCCATCTTTATCAAATGAAGCTCAAAGAATTTGATACATGATCCTGTGATCACTGGACAGTATCTTTCTGCCATGGCGATATCCTTCTTTATGCCTTGAGTGTCCACCGTCAAAATTCAACAAGACAGAGATAGTTAAGACACTAAAGTCCTGAATTTACCCATCCAAATCTTTCTTAATTAGTCATTTTCCTTTATGAATTGATGCATCCCTGAATCTCTTCTAGAGTTTTGCCTTTGGTTTCTGGGACTAACTTTGCAACAAATAGAATGGTCAAGAGGGAACAGCCAGCATACAGAAATAAAGTACCTGAACAAAGGAAAATGAAGCATAAGTTACAAAATAAACTAGATAGGCAATCAATTTTTACATGTTTTTTTTACGCTTATACATATTTTTCTTGCATTTCATAGAGTCTAAGAAATAAGTTGTACTATCCACAGATTGTCAGAAATACAGTTTATTATAAATTTTATTTATTTTAAATCAAAAATATTGATGTGATATAAGAGTTAGAGGTATCACTAAGTTGACGGGTACATGTTGTCTAATTAGTAAAATGACAACATGTACCCGCCACAATCTGTAGAGTCAATCCATATTATTAGCTCTGATAACATTATACAAACCTCACAAGATCAATATAACAAAGCTATATCAAACTGAGTTTGTTGCAGTTTGTGCTTACCAGGAGAACTCCAACTCATGAGGAAGTTGAATGTGTATGAAACCAACCAAGCTCCCAACCAGTTCACCAAAACCACCAAGCTTCCAGCAGTTCCCTTCACATGTATGGGAAAGACCTGCCAAATGAAGACTAGTATTAGAATAATTTTCCTGGGCTTCCCTCTGTTTATCTTTTCCTCATTATGATTTATAGAAAATAAAAGCTTCAAGGTGCTTGTGTCAAGGGATACATACCTCAGACATTATCACCCAAGGAACCGGTCCCAAGCCAATGGAGAATGCTGCTACATAGATCTGGTTACAAAGAGGGTCAAGATTGAGTTCATAGATTTCATAGTTCGCTTGCCAGTTAACCAAATGCCTTCAGATTATAAAATATGTACGGTAACTAGCAGTAGGTGCAGAAGTAGACTTACCAGTATGCCACCGACAGCTAATATTGGTACCGACCCAAGCAGTAAGCTGTGACCCTGTTCAATGGAATCAGATAGCACAAGTTCAGATTTGAGGCTCAAACACTAAACCTAGCTGATAAGGACCAGACTTTGGTGAGGTTTCATACGTATTTGCCGTTAGATTCTCTAATGAAAGTATGATTCATGGAAATTTTTTTTGGAAACTCATAAATGCTATATCTAATATTTGTGCATAATATAATACTGAAGACTTGCCTTGAGAAAGAAAGCAGCTCCTGTCATAAAGGAGCCTAAGAATGTCCCAGCTGCAGAAATCTGCAAAATGCATGAATATGAGCACGTTTGTAACGCAAGCAAAGCTCCTACTTCACTTTGCTTTATAAGATGATGAATGAAAAAGAAAACTTGAAATTAGATTTACCATGATGAGTGGTCTTCTACCAGACTTATCCATCAAAATGGCTCCAACCACAGTCAACGGAACCTATCATTCATTATCAGAAGACTTGAGTTTATACAGAAATATAGTTATATGATTGATGTTCAGGAAATCAGTAAAGGAAAAGATCAACAACCTGAGTAAAAGCGTAGGCTATGGTGCCAATTTTGCCTGAAGAAAAACCTGCAAATCAAGTTATACATGATAAGTATGAATTTTCATCTTTCTCTTATTTTCCCCTTTTATGGGTATTAAAATCAGCTCATAAGTTTTCGTTTACCAGCTGCTACGAAAGTCTCTGCCGTGTAGAATCCGATACCATTGATTCCAACAAGTTGTTGACATACCATTAGCCCTACCCCAATCTGAATTGTAAAATATAATTAGAATCCTTTTAATTGTTGCATACCCGTGGTTAAATATCCTTGAAATGAGAGAGTTCCTTACAACTACAGAGCGCACGTGTTTGGTTTGGAACAAATCTAGAAACTGGGTCTTGGGAAGGCTTTGAAGAGTTTCAATATATTCCTGTTACAGAACACAGAACAGTTAATCAACCCCTGGAATGTCTCACACTTACTAAAAAATTTTATTTACAAAGGTTCAAACAGTTATAAGAGCTTGGAAAGTACCAGAATTTCAGAAGCTTCATAAGAGATATCAACATCTTTTCCCCTAAGTCTCCTTAAAGCTGCTTGAAATTCCTTTTCTTGGCCAACCTTTGCCTGGAAACAATAATTTTCAGTTTATTAATTACATTTTTATCTTCCTCTCCTAAAAGACAAAGCTCTTTTGATCATATATACTAATGTAATACTTACCAGCCATCTGGGTGACTCAGGTATAAAGCACAAACCAATCAGCAATGAAATGCATGGCACAAGCCCTTCAAAGTTTAAACCAAGCACAAAAGTTTAGACCTTTATCT